TCCTAGTTTTTTCTTTTCCTTCCGAACCTGACAAGTACCTCTTCAAGTACTCCTCTCTGGATGATCTTTTAGAGTCATCAGCGAGCATTCTAAAACGATCTATTTTAAACTCAATTTCGCAACGTACAAAATACCAGCACTGTACTCAATGACGAGCAAGAACATTAGAAGCAACGACGGAGTGCAAGTGACAGAAGAGCAACAAAGAAGCTTTCGTCACATCCATCCCTTCCGCTCCTGTTCAGTAGATCTTAAAACTGCACGAAAACAGGTCTCAACGCCAATCATAGCTTGACGGTTGCTCCAGTTATAGCTATACATATACATCACTGAGGTCAGTACACAAGCAAAAAGAAAAAAGGTTAGGGAGAATCTGCCGCGCTGATTCAGTCCTACCCAGTCAGAAATTTTGGCAGTGGAATTATGGACACCCCCTCCAACTCTTGAAGAACGCAATAGCTCTCCGAAATAAAGCAAAACAGTAAACCAGCTTAAAATGACAGAACTGGCTTAAAAGCTTTTGCAAACCGACGAATGACAGAACATGAGAAGAATGCCACCAAAGTATTTAATCAAGTATTGGATGCAATTTCAAATAAATTTTCCTGTAACAGCTGAAACGTAAAGGCAAGACCAGAACCCACGAAACAACATTTATTTTCAGAAAGTAAAACAGAAAACAACAAAAGTGGTAAAAAGTTACAGAACAACAAATCAATTTGAAATGAAAAGCGAAAAGGATCACTACATTAAACTCAATTTAACGTAAAATTTCAAAGTATACATCGCTAATCTATGAGGAAAGAACCATATTTAAATTCTAGAAAGCTCCACAGACCTCCGGTCCTAATGCAACCATTAAAAGTCATTTTTCAATTGATTATCACAGCGAAAAAAGCACTACCAGTATATAAATTCTATTACACGTGATAGAACTTTTGATGTACCACGAGAGTTTGTTATAAGACCGATACCAAATCATCCTAACTGTCAAAAACCTTACTAATTTAGCCCAAAAAATTTGCAATTACAAGATGAAATATGACATGAGCAAAAATAAAATCGGCAAAAGCTCTTTCAGGGCTGATATTAGGATAAAGAGCCTTGTTTTCGGGATTAACCTGGATCCGCAGAGACGCTGAAAGAAGTGGAATCAAAGCTTAAGGAAATGTTCTGGTCGAATAAAAAGATATTTACTAAAGAACAGCAAACTTACTCCCGTTGAAAAAACTCTTAACTCCTTAATCAAAAAATATATAAATAAATATAAAATAATGATAATAATAATAATTTTAGAACAAAATAATTTAAAATTCAATCACTCTCCATAC